AAACAAAAAATAATAATAATAATAAAAAATCATACAAGCAGTGCTGAGCTTGAGGAGCCATAACAGTTGAGTTGCTAAAGTGAAAGTTCGTTTGAAAGCGCGATTTCGGACAATTCAATCAGACATCGCATACTTTAAATATCTCTCTTCATCATTCGCATTATTAACAATGACTCAATAAACACACTACACTACTTATTATTACTTTCCTACTTATTAAGTTTTATGAAATGAGAAGTAAGCAAAAGTGGAACGAACAAAAATGTTCAAGTATATGAATTCTTTGAAAATTACAGCTTTTAAATTAATTATTTCGTTATCAATACATTTCCTTTAAACGTGAAATGTGCATATGCTACGAAACTTACAAAGTGGAAAGTTAATCCCAAAGGAAGTGATCATTTGTAAGTTTGGGAATTACTTACGAGAACAATAATAAGAAAATGTCCTCAAAATATCAGACCAATATTTATTCTTGGATCAACTGCAGAAAGTAATGAGTTTTCTTCTCATTTATTGCTTGAATACTTGTTAAGATGTTACTCAATAAATTCGTGGGACGACATATATATTTGGCCATCCTCGACAAAGTTACGATTGTATTAGTGACACTACCATTGTTTTTGTGAAATGATTGGAAATCATATGGATTCGTCAATAGCCATCCTACAAACTTATTGAATTTTACATTATAGAAGAGTGAGGCGATCAAACAGGGATAGGACACTTTCAAAACGCGACTTAGTTTATGTTTTTTTTCAAATTCCACCAAAAATTGATAGTATTTGGCAGATCGTCGTCGAAACATTCACAATTCCATAGCGTAAAGAGATTGTTTAAAATTTTCAACAAAAATGATGAAATTATTCAAGCAACCTTTTGAACGTAAATAAGCAAACTTATGCTTAATGCTTATTATTCGTAATGTAAATGGAAAATTTGAATCAAATGGTTTTTCTAACATGTAACCATTGTCAGAAACGTAAACATACCGCCAAAAAAATATCGATACTGTGAAGTAAAATATGGATTAACCAACACATTGCAGCTATCGTTCATTCCATTTGGGGAACTTTTATAGTTTTCTTGTTATTCGCAAACTAAAAACGTCCAAGCCAATTATTTGATCCTTCTTGTATTGTATAGTCTCTCTTAGAAGATCAATGAAAGATTTTTCAAAAGCAATAATTTTTCATATAGCACAAGTTAAGAGTTACTTTTACAGATTGTCCGTAATTTGTATTAATTCCCTAAGCCGAGGGTATTTTGACTTTTATTTTAATAAACTTGTTTCATAGATTTCGTCACATGGGTGAGATTTTAAATAAAATCTTATTCTACACCACTCGTGGTAAAGGGTATATTAAATTTATGCGGATGTATGCTAAACCCAGAAAGATCTAAGATAGATCCAAATTTTATTATAACGATCGATTGCAAATCATTTTCTTATTCTCATCTATGCTTGTCCGCCCGCTTGTACGCTTGTCTTGTTTTTTTGATGTTATTTGCAGACGTTACATTAATACGTGTAAGATGATGTAGGGTATTTAATTATAGCATTTTCATGTGTTTTATTTTGTTTATTTTACGATCTTGCTTTCTCCAAGAATTTTTTATGAACTGCGTACGATATAATGCTTTCCATCGATGTTTATAGAAAATCAATAGCAATAGATGAAAAGTAATGATAAACTTTTTCGTACGTCCTCAACTACTTCCCGTCAAAACGGGGTTTTCAACTAGTTATGATTGTCACATCATATTACTTACAAGAAAAGTTGAAGATTCGAAGATTACAAAAACGTGCCGAAACTCCATTCGCCACGTATTGATATTTATAATCATAGACCTTAGGCGTCATTTCTTAATTAAAAATGATGCTGAGTCATATTTATAGAACTTTTGCTAATAAACTGACTTTGGGTAAGAAGCTTTTAATCTAATTGGACTTACAGTGAAGGAAAAACTTGGGTCATTTTCGAGAACAAAGTTCGTCGGAACAGGATCATGCAGACGGATACAGCCCCGTTCTGGCGGATACCGATAGACACGGATGCCTCGAAATACGTGTCTCAACGAACTCCTTCATCAACCCTATTGCGACGAGTGCGGTATATACACGGCAAGCATTTGTGGCATCGTAGCGGCTGATGCAATCTCTGTGCAATAGTGCATTATGATCGCAGGTTTGTGGCGAAGTATCATTCTGATGGTCTATCGCTATGCTAACGTGCCGTCGCGAAAGTGTTAACCCAAATTGGGGATACTTGTTCATTTTTTTAGTTAGAAGCAGAATATATGCATAATATCCGATTTCAATCAATATCTTTCCAGTTTTGAGTTCTTGAGGAACTTTTTCTATATATCAGATAATACAACTAATATCATCTATTAAGTTTATATACTTTCATATTACAGTTAGCTTAATGTTTACTTTATAATTGTAAAAAAAGAAAACATTGATTTATTACCAGTTTGGCCTTAATTAGCTGTAATTACTATTATCCCGAAATATGTGTTTTTCATCTACGCGAATAAGTTATATTTTGCAGAGTAAACTGCTTACACTTTTATTAATTACATGTGTAAAATAAATATTTAATTTGAGCACATCAATGGTCATAGGGAATATTTACTCTCCTATTCATAGCAGACGAGAGAACGAAAATAATGGAAAGTATAGGCTGACCTTTCTATTTTACACATAAAACACTTGTGAAAACATTGGCGTTAGGTAAATGAATGATGAGAGTATAAATACCGAGAGGAAGAATTATTATTAATACAAATACAATATGCATACGCAATGATCTTATAATTGTTTAATTTAATCTACTCGATCCACAACTAAGATATTTTTATATATGTTTTCATACTTTCTTTTTTTGACTTTAACTCAGTTCGCTTCAAATATACGCTGCACTATGAATGTGTGTACTGCTCCTCTGACTATTCCATTGACTTATCAAGAAATTTAGATATAATAGTAATAGAAAAATATATAAATAAATTTGGGGCCAACAATCGCGGCTGTACAAATCATACAAATTAATGGTTACCTGTTTTAGTTAGATTAGTGCAAATGTGTGTATATTAAATTTATTAGGTGAAACTTTAAATTTGTGATAATTATTTATGCATTTTATTGAAACTAGAAGATTTGCAATTTATACGAGCTTTAGATTCCTCTTATTTAAAATATAATTTTTCAAATTAAAGTAATAACAACTATGACATTAAAATTTAACACTAAAAGTGTCAGTGGGTCGTTATGACATTTGTGAAAAAAAAAAAAATGTTTACGACCCATGCAAAGTTGTAATAATTCTTTTATGATTTTTATTTATATGAAAGGACTAACTACATGTAATCAGATATTCTCTACGTTGTCTTTACATTAAAATTTTGTTGCTAATTATGGTCACATTTATGAACAGATCGGGTCCATTTCGGAAATATCTTCACGGGATCGAACATTATAGACAAAAATATGAACACAACGTCGACATCTTCTCGAGTTTGTATCAATTTCTTCAATCTTACGAACGTGAACGTAAACAGATTTCGTTCTTTGACCTCACATTCTTAATCGATCAAAGAATCTTTGTGTCAAATTTTAATTTGCTAATTTTCATTTTTGCGGTTGTAGCGAATCCATGGAGCGAAAATGGCCCATAACAGTAGAGATGGATAGATGTAAAATGTCGATTGCTCTAGTGTTAAAAAATCATCTCTATCTCTTCTTCTATAATCAATAGCCCGCGATGTATCTCACTTGATTATTAAAATTAAACATTTTATTAGAAATTTTACTTGAGAAATTTATTCTCCCATACATTTTCCTTCTTAACAAATTTATGCTTCGATATGCTTTATGTTGTGAAAATTGGCTGAAAGCTTAAAATGCTAAACGTTGAAAAGCGTTTGTTTGATGATGAAAAGGTTACGCCTTCCCAAGCTGCACCAAAGTGCACTTTCGAATGAAAGAGTGTACGAATGAGCTTTAAAACTATTGATGCCCCGTGAAATTGCAATTGTGGTAGGGGAAGAAATTTGATATACAACATGTCTTTAGCCTAAAAATTTTAAAGTTGCCGTGAAACGTATATGAAGGGAATTTTATTAAACCGATATTCTTACGAAATTTAAAATAAATTATTGCTAAATACGAAATCGAACAACTTACATGTCTACAATCCATTTCTGGTCTGCATTTGTTATCACTTTTTTAAATGGTAATGATATAAGGTATGCTTTAAACGAAGCGTAGCTTTCTCATTTATTAAATCCGTTCTCGGAGTATGCATATTAGTGTTTGTAATATTCACACGTATTAGAAATCGTCTAAAGTATATTACTTTTATGTAGCGAATATTTCCAAGCCCAATCTAACCGTATTCATTTAACATTTCTCCATCTGCTGTCTGCCATTGTAACGCCTTCGGTCACAAACATTAAGATAGAAAATTGAAACTTGGCATATAACCGTTCCAGCAATAGACAGGCAATATGCTGTGAATTAAAACCCGTTGCCACTCGGTAAAAACATTGTTAGGCTATTATTAGAACTTTACTGAAAAATGGGCGTGACCAAACTAAACCAACTGATCACACGGTCAGTCTCAATTGATCACCTAACAAATCCACTTTAATGCGATAGTAAGAGATTGCAACGGTCCAAAGCGGTGAATATAATGATTTAATACACTAGTATGGAATTTTAGAGATCCAAAGCGATGAATACAATGATTTAATGAAGTAGTATGGAATACTAGCTGTTCCAAGTGATGTACATCAAAGACTTGCGTCAAGGCGAATATATAGTTTTCTTACTTGTTTTAACACTAAACGAGTTTGTATTCGCATATTTTATTTATTCATATTCGGTTTTAATAAATTATTCACAGTTATATAAAAAAATATTATGGATTTATGTATTTTGTTTAATAGCCAAACACTTAAGGTAATGTCATCATTTCATTTTCTATCTTTTGCAGGTGTAACTTAATTCGATCAATAAAATAACAGAATAACTCACATAAAGGTGTGTGAGCTGCAAGAGTTTTCATTATGGGCAGAGTGACGGCAGTCAGTGGTTTTTGGCTGCCCGGACTTATATTTTTAATATCATTAGGCTGTGCATCAGTCAAAGCTGGCGAAGATGTATTTTCTTGTCCCAATGGTGAGTTTTAACAAATATATTTACACATTAAGGTGTACATGTGTATGATCGTTTTCTTTTTTCTTTTTTTTTTTTTGTTGTGTTGAATACGTATGAAAAGAAAAAGAAAATCTCCTTCACATTGACATATTCATGTGTTCATGATTCATTTGCAATAAAATATCAAATTTCTTTATCACTTGAATTGTATTAAATGAAATCACTGCCTGCAAGTTGCAGGTGATGTGGTTTGCATGCTCTTATATGTATGTGCATGAAATATATTTATATATTTATATATTTATATATATACATATATCCATTTTTTAATTTAAAATTTCAAATCCAAATCTTGTTATTAATGGATACCGTTTTCCGGACTGCATTACAAACACTTTCTTGCCAAGCGAAAAGTGTGTCTAATATTCAGAAAATTGTGTTAAAACTAAGCCAAACAACAAATATAATGCATTAAAAATAATAAAATAATAATAACACAAGCATAATATGAAAACAAGAAACAAATGGATTTCTTAACGGTACAACTCGCGTTGAAGCTATAAATGTAAACTTGCAACACTTGTTGGTTAGCTTGCTCAGTTGGCGTAAATAGTTGCCTTAGTATTAGTTGTTGTTTTATTTATATTATAAAATAGCTGTTCTTATGTATTGTACATAAAAAAAAAAGTTACACAGATCTGCTAACGTCTACACACGCAAATACAATTCATCGTTACTCGTTCTCGTCACACACATCTACAAGTGCATGTATGTATTGTGGTATATAATAGCTTTTTTTTTAAATATTGGCTGCACGCTATATGATAAAAGAACAGGTTTACTGTTTAAATCTTTTGAATTTCCTACATTCGCTATATGCTCTTCACTTATACCACGTTACATTGCATGCTCTAATCAGAATGCAGTAGAAATCAAGTGCTTTAACTACTCGAAACAAAATATATGTAGAGAATACAACAAACAATTCATTAAAAGATCCTTACATCATAAGCCCATCTGGTATGTAGGTGAATAAAGAAGTATGTTAAAGATGAATCATTTCATCTTTTATCTGCACCTACTTACCGAATTAGCGATGATTTGAGATGAAGTGATTAAAGTTGAAAATTCAAGAAAGTTTAGAAAAGCCTCTTAATTTTTTTTTTTTTTTTCATATTCCCCCTCATCTTAGATACAAGAAGCTATGCTTTGTATTAAGCAGTAAGTATTCAATAAGAAAATTCTGTTCTTAATTGTTATAGAAACGGAAAGAATCATTTATTGTACATTGTATACTGACCATAACGACTAAGCAATATTCAGCCAAGCGTGAAAAACTTAACTGTAATTAACTTTAAATATATACATTTCATATATATGCACATATGTTTATTGTGTATAGAAATTTTCTCAAGATATGTTTTTTTTGGTTTCTGAAATCTTATCAATAATTTTTTTATTAAGTGAACCGAAAAAATAATTGTTCTTCACAATTTAATTCGTTCGATCAATCAACGAAATCGCTTGATGGAATTTTTTGTTTTGGAATTTGTGTATCTTATATGAAAAGCATGAAAGGATAATCATACATATAGTTACTCCTTAGAAAAACAATCCCCAATCATCCAATAACATTAACGCATAATGTAGTACTTGCAAAAAGCGAACTGCAAAACTTTTCATATTTTCGTATTAATTCTTTGTGAACTTAGAGTTCTTTTGCTTGCTTGCTTACAAGGACAAGCTTGCATTGTTGGTCATTGTGACATTTTTTAGTGCATGGAATTTGTTCTGCACGTAAATTGATTTTACTTTGATTTCGTTTTTTTTAATTGTCGAAAAGATTGTGTCGACTTTTTTGGTCTTGCTTTTGAAGAGAAACCTAACCGGTTTGGTTAACTTCACGCACAAATTAGTCGAGGTGTTGTATTTACAGAATATTTTTCATTGACATTAAATCGTTCGATGCTAATTGTGAGTAAGCAAGAAGGCGAATATATTTAGTGGTTTGTCATTTACAGGCATTATTCACTATGTTGTATAGCTAGTATTAATCAAGGCTAACCACATCACAGCATTGTTAACGAAAGCAGCAACAGAAAATACTCAGCTGGTTATTTGCAAAATTGTTGAAATTCCCAAAGCAATGCTTGTTTTGTAGCCCAAGACTTTTATTTAGCATACAAGAGTCATTCAATAACTTTACATATACGAGCTCTAATATAAATATTTATATATATATATATACATATATATATATACATATATATATATATATTTACATTCAGTTCTAACACACTACATACATAGTCCAAATTTTGCATATAATGCATTCAAGACCTGATTAAATACTTTTTTAATTAGTTCTAAAGGAAGAAAAAAAACATTTACATTGCCTCACATTTTATATGGGTAAACCATAGGAAAGGGAACAATATTCGCAACAAATTTTACTAAACCCAGTATATGTAATTTTGATAGACCTCTGATAGCCTTGTGATATTTACCACTACTGCCATCACCGTGAAAGAAATAGGATTTCTTGGTGCTAAACTAAAGCAGGTGATATTGATCCGGGGAGCTACATATCTGTTGGCTGGGATTATTACCTTCCCTGTCGATCAAATTTACATTCCTGACTACAAGTTGCCATTAGTTGTTAAAGTAGAGAGTGGCATAAATTGTTAAGCCAAAATGAGTCAAGCTACGCGAAACGGAGCGTCAATTGAGGCTACGCTACCGTCCGGGCAACTTTGGTTGCCTTCGACTTTGTTTTTTATCGCATGTTTTTTATCGTAAGCGATGAAATTTTCATTCATATTAGTCCCTTTAGCAGCACTTCGCAGATGAACATTCGCACCATTACATTTTTCAATGTTAATTCACGTGGTCCTCAAGTATCGGGCTTCTTTTGATGTCTATGTTTATGAAACTAGTTCAATAGTTTATTATGTTACCTTCACAGTAGTCTTATATGGCGTCTCGTTCAGTTTTTTAAAGATTTTCAACGACTATGACAGACATTAGTTGAGCAGAGCGCAGCGATTCTTTAACATTGAATATTACACAGTGAAAACGACCAAATTATTTTATATGCTGCGAATTTGGGAAAAGAGTAGAGTAAACAGGCGTTTTTGGATATATATAAGCTTTGAGGAATGAACGCTTGCAAATTAATGGAAAAGAATAATTTAAAATTTAATGTAACCAAAAATTTTCTACAAACAAAACGGTCAAAACTTTCAAATCAAACTGTCAAACCAGACCAAATCCTAAACTTGTTGTACTTTTTGCGCGAGTGTTGTACGGTATATTTAAAAAAAAACATTCTCTACCGGAGAGCATAGCAGATTTTCGATACGTTAATTTAAACATTCTCTCCTGGAAGAAAAAAAATAAATAAAAATAGTTCATGTATAAATAAATAAAAAAGAAAAAAGGCAGCTACACAACTAGCACAGAGGCACACCCGTAACCAGCATAGAACCAATTTGCAAGTGAACCCCTAAGCTATTGAAAACATGCAAGAGCATCGTTAAAATTAATATATATTTTTTTTCCAGATTTGGGCCAAAAAATATGTCGTCCGCAGCAAAGCCTTTTAAAATGGCTCAAGTGTTATCGTTTTTTAATGTTTTCCGATCCTAATTTTTTTTGTATACCTAATGTATATGGTTGATAACTTTATCCAATACGACCTCTCCTTCTATTCTAAAAAAAATGAGCCAAAAAAACGCTCTTCTTTAAATTATTAGGGTATCTTCCTCACTTAAGCTTACCTTATCTGTTAGTTTTCGCTCGCATTACTTTTTACCGACACAATTAGTATGACCAAGGTACCCAATCGTAATTCTAAGGTGCGAAATTCTCCACTATATTTAATATAATTAACGAAATACACAAGTAGCAAAAAATATAGGTCTGGGAAATCTACGGGTGTATCTTAGAAAGACGCCGTACTCAAATCCTTCTTAGGCAAAGAAGAGTCTTACATGTGAGAGTCTTTTTTTTATCGGAATATCTAGAAAAAAAATCTCTTTTTTAAGAGACTGAACTAAAAAGACTGAAAGAAACCATTTATTGAAAATTTTTCGCAATATGGTATCTATTTATCAGCTTTATTCTGGCAAGAGAGATGAATACATAGCATTATCTTTAAAAATTGAAAAGTAAAAATGAATGAAGTATGACGAGTACACTACATTCTCTTTCAGGTTGGGAGCTATACGGGCTTCACTGCTATAAATATTTTAATATTAAACATTCTTGGGAGAAAAGCGCGGAGTTGTGCAGGAGGTAAGTTCCCTTTATTAAATTGTAATTCTATCTCTTCTTTTTTATATTACCACAGTAGGTTAATTGTAGTTTGCTCTATTTACTGTTTTATTTTGAGTAACTGCCACGATTCGTGGGCTATTTTCTTAGATGGTGCAGGAATAAACAATTCTTCAAATTGCGTTGCAAGTCAACGCAACCTATAACAGTTTATTTATATCAACATGTACGCAAACTGAAGATTAAAAAGGGAGCGAATGTCAAAGCTGAGCAAAATATACTCAAGACGTTCTTTCCCAATCTCGAAATAGTAACTTTAATCTGGACGATCAATTTCTAAGTTTGTTGTACAATACCTGATTTAAAGCAACTTTGATTCACTTCAAAAGCCATCTTCTGATTGTCGAAATCACAACAGAAATTTTGAAACACTCATTTGAAATCTTTTCGTGCTACTCTGGTGAAGTTAAGTTCAGAAGTTAAAAAATTTAGAAAATCATACAAATTTTTGCTTTCTTCCTAATTTTCTGGTCTTGAAGTTTTCGTGCTCAAAACTTGGAACCGCTTGTTAAATTATCAGCATCAAATCCGAAAAGCAGATAAGTCCGATCTGGAATTTCTTCGTAATTCCTAAATAAACTGAAATATGTTTTCATTTTGCACATTTATTGAAAAATATGATTTAAAATTTTTGCAGTAGAATATAAGATATATTCGATCTCCGCCTTGTGTCGTAATCAACTATCGTACATTATTTAACAGATGCTAATGGATCCGAAATAGAGGGTCTAGCGAGGCTACTTGTGGATATTCAATGGTGGATTCAACTAAGTCGAATATAATTTCCTTTACACTTTTTGTTTAATCTCTTGAGATCAACTGGAAATTGACAGGGTTCTTCGTTAATGCCACGCAAGGATCGTTAAAACGATTTTTAGTGGTAGACTTCAGTAATACGAACGACAGATATTTAATTTAGGTCAAACTTGAAAATGTATCCGATCCGAATAGCTCGAAGAAATCGGCTGACCTGATGACAGACAATTTTCAAAACGTTTAAAACTGTAATTTTCGTATTGGTTTTAGCTCAATTTTTCGTCTTACGCATCTAGTTAAATGAACTCACGGTCTGATGTTTTCTTTTAAAACGCCAGGGGTAAAGATGACTCAATTGGATTCTCTTTCTATAACTCTTCATTTTGAAGTTGAGATTTTCTGTTGAAATTTCTTTTCAATTCAAAAATATTTCTTTTATACTTACATCTACATACACTACTGTGTAGGCATTTGCTTAGCTACTCACAGGCAACTGTAAGTACTGGTTATCAATGGCTATAGAAAATCAAGTATTTGTTAGGCTGTTGTTGTTGCTGTTGTTTTTTTTGTTTTTATAATAATTCTCGTTTTGTATTGGAAATGAAAGTTTCTGCGGGTATGCATAGGTGTGTGTTGGAACTTAAATAACAAGTTCGCAAGCAGTACAACACAAATCATATTTGGGGCAACAGCACTTTTAAAAATATTTGTCTTTTAATATATGAGCATCGTTGATTTTAAAAGGTAATTCCTGGAAAATAGAAAGTAGTTTGCAAAGCATGTATATTATGGGATCAATTAGTTGTAATTAATTTAGCTTTAAGATGTTGTGTGACGTTTAGAATTCTATTATATTTTTAGGGAAAGTGTGAACAATTTTGATATTTAATTAATTTTTCTGTGCTTCTGCAGATATGGCGCTGAATTGGTAGCTATTGATTCATTTTCCGAAAATAATAATACGCTTTCAATTGCGCGGAGTAATGATCCAAACCACCGTGCTTCCGATAAATATTGGTTAGGTTTGGCTTCTTTGGATGATTTGAGAACAAATACTTTGGAATCGGCGTCAGGTGCTCTTATTTCTCAGTATTCAGGGTTTTGGTCACTTCATCAACCCGATCCCGCGTCAGGAGAATGCGTGGCTGCCTCCTTTCTATCAAATTCGCAATCTTGGGACTTAGGCACTTGTGAGAGTTTGCTACCCTTTATGTGTCGGGCTCCCGCCTGCCCCCAGAACTCTATACATTGTGCAAATAGTAAATGCGTGAATCAAGCTTTTCGTTGCGATGGGGCCGATGATTGCGGTGACGGTTCCGATGAATTGGATTGCCCCGCACAATGCCATTATCATATGCAATCTGGTGGCGATGTAATTGAAACTCCCAGTTATCCTCATAAATATGCGCCGTTAAGCAAATGTAAATGGACTTTGGAAGGCCCGTTGGGCAGCAACATAATACTACAATTTCAGGATTTCGAAACGGAAAAAACATTTGATACTGTTCAAATTTTGGTGGGTGGCCGCACTGAGGACAAGTCAGTTTCATTAGCTACGCTAAGTGGCAAGCAAGATTTGACTGCTCATCCCTTTGTTTCCGGTTCGAATTTTATGATTGTAAAGTTTATTACGGACGGCAGCGTGGAACGTAAGGGTTTTCGTGCCACGTGGAAAACTGAAGCTAAGAACTGCGGTGGTGTTTTAAAAGCTACTTTACAGCGGCAGACTTTGACCAGTCCCAATTATCCCAAACAATATCCAGGCGGTTTAGAATGCTTATATATTATTAAAGCCCAAGTCGGTCGAATCATTTCTGTCGAAGTTGATGACCTGGACATAAGCGAAGGACGTGACTTTTTGTTAATACGCGATGGTGAATCACCCATGAGCCGCCCAATTGCTCGATTAACAGGGAAAACTAATGATAACGAAAAGATTATCATTTCAACTGGTCATTCTTTATATTTGTACTTCAAATCTAGTCTAGGAGATTCTGGTAAAGGTTTCAGTTTACGATATATACAAGGATGTAAGGCGACAATTACTGCTCGCAATGGTACAGTAACATCACCTGCTTTTGGTTTGGCAGACTATCCTAAAAATCAAGAATGTTATTTTACTATACGCAATAGTATGGGATCGCCGTTATCTCTAAAATTCAATAAATTTATGGTACATCAGAGCGATAATGTCCAAGTTTATGATGGTTCATCTACATCTGGCCTACGTCTACATTCTGGTAATGGATTTACTGGCGCAACAGTTCCAAAACTTACATTGACTGCTTCTTCAGGTGAAATGCTAATTAAATTTACCTCTGACGCCTTACATAACGCTGTTGGGTAAGCAAAGCATGTTATTGACGTCGAAAAATGAAATAAATATTGCTATTACAGATGGTCTGCTACATTTTCGGCTGATTGTCCGGAGTTGAAACCAGGTATTGGAGCTTTGGCTTCCAGCCGTGATACTGCTTTTGGGACAGTAGTCACCTTCACTTGCCCCATTGGTCAGGAATTTGCAACTGGGAAAAATAAGATTGTAACTGAATGTTTAAAAGGTGGCAATTGGAGCGTTTCGTACATACCGAAGTGTCAAGGTACTTTAGTGAACTATGTAAATTATCAGAATTATTGAAGCGTTCTTTTTTACAGAGGTTTACTGTGGGCCTGTACCGCAAATTGATAATGGTTTCTCGATTGGATCTTCAAATGTCACTTATCGTGGGGTAGCAATGTACCAATGTTATGCTGGTTTTGCTTTTAGCTCTGGTAGTCCAATTGAGAAAATTTCTTGCCTGCCCGATGGCCGTTGGGAAAGGAAGCCTACTTGTATGGCTTCGCAATGTGCTCCCTTGCCAGATGTACCCCACGCCAATATTACTCTTTTAAATGGGGGTGGACGCAGTTACGGCACTATTGTTAAATACGAATGTGATCCTGGTTATGAGCGAACTGGTCATCCCGTGTTAATATGTATGTCTAACGGCACTTGGAGCGGAGAGGTTCCACGATGTGTGCGTAAACGTTGTTTTGAATTTCCACAAATCGATAATGGGTTTGTCGTGGATGCAGCACGCCCTTATTATTACGGAGATGATGCTCGGGTTCAATGTTTTAAAGGCTATAAATTAATTGGAAGTAATATCATTCGTTGTAATACCGATCAAGTTTTCGAAAATCCACCTACTTGTGAGGACATCAACGAATGTACATCAACCCAGTGCGATTTGGCAACTACAGAATGTGTTAACACGAATGGTTCATTTCATTGTCAGTGTCGGTCAGGGTTTACTACAACAACTGAATGCCGCCCGGTAGGCGATTTGGGTTTGAGCAATGGTGGAATTCCTGATGAAAGCATAACAACTTCCCAAACAGAGGAAGGCTACACCAAAGGTATGGTTCGATTGACGTCGGCTGGATGGTGCGGTGCCTCCGTTGAACCCGGTGCAAATTGGCTTATGATAGACTTGAAGGCTCCTACTGTGCTGCGAGGTTTTCGTACTATGTCTGTTCAGCGCTTTGATGGCAACATAGCCTTCACGTCGGCAGTGAGACTCCAGTATTCCGATGACCTGACTGATGTATTCAAGGACTATACAAATCCAGACGGCACGGCCGTCGAGTTTAGAATTTTAGAGCCCACTTTGTCTATTCTAAATTTACCGATGCCTATAGAAGCACGTTATATTCGGTTTCGAGTCCAAGATTACGTCGGTGCCCCTTGCATTCGCTTAGAAGCAATGGGATGTACTCGCTTAGATTGTGTTGATATTAATGAATGTTCGAAAAACAATGGAGGTTGCGATCAAAAATGTGTAAATTCTCCAGGAAGTTTTGCATGCTCATGTAATACTGGCTATCAGCTCTACACTGCAAATGGTACAGCTGGGTTTGGCATTGAACGTTTCGAAACTGGGGAACGAGATGGGGATACATATCAACGTAACAAATCTTGTGTACCAGTAATGTGCCCGACATTGTTAGCTCCAGAGAACGGTAAATTACTGACAACTAAATATGATCAACACTTTGGCGATATTATAAAATTCCAATGCAATTTTGGGTACATAATGTCCGGCAGTTCATCTCTGCTTTGTTTATCGAGCGGCCAATGGAATGGCACGGTACCAGAATGTAATTGTACGTATTAGCTAGAATTGTGATTTAATAACGATGATAATTTATACTAATGTAATTTTACAGATGCGAAGTGTGTTTCTTTGCCAGATGATAAATTAGAAGGCTTGTCGGTTGTCCGCCCGGACATAGAGTCCGTTTTAGTTCCTTTTCGGGACAATGTTACTGTCACGTGTACATCACCGGGACGAAATTTGAGAGGAACTGCCTCAGCTGGATTCCGTCAATGTGTTTATGATCCGAAACCCGGCTTGCCTGATTACTGGTTATCCGGCTCACAACCCTCATGTCCACGTATTGATTGCTATGCTCCAACGCCTACTCCTGGAGCAGAATACGGTCAATATGTTGATACACGCTATCAAAGCAACTTTTTCTTTGGATGTCAAAACACATTTAAACTAGCTGGTCAGACCTCACATCACGACAACGTAGTACGTTGCCAAGCTGACGGCATTTGGGATTTTGGAGATTTGCGTTGTGAGGGACCTGTGTGCGAAGATCCTGGGCGTCCCAGTGATGGCCGCCAAATAGCCCGCAGCTATGAACAGGCAGCTGAAATTTACTTTGGTTGTAATCGCCCCGGATACATTTTAATTAATCCAAGACCCATAACATGTATTAGGGAGCCGGAATGTAAAGTAATACGACCACTTGGCTTGACATCGGGAAAAATTCCTGATTCTGCTATTAATGCTACTTCAGAACGGCCAAACTATGAAGCTAGAAATATACGTATAAATTCAGCTACGGGTTGGTGTGGAAAGCAGGAGGCCTTTACATATGTCAGTGTGGATTTGGGTGAAATTTATCGCGTCAAAGCAATTCTTGTTAAAGGAGTTGTTACTAATGATATCGTTGGTCGTCCGACAGAAATCCGATTTTTTTACAAACAAGCCGAAAATGAAAATTATGTCGTTTATTTCCCCAATTTTAATTTAACTATGCGGGATCCTGGAAACTACGGTGAGCTAGCAATGATTACGTTGCCAAAATATGTTCAGGCCCGTTTTGTAATATTGGGTATTGTCAGTTATATGGATAATGCTTGTTTAAAATTCGAGTTGATGGGATGCGAGGAACCTAAGAAGGAACCTTTGCTGGGCTACGATTACGGCTATTCACCATGTGTGGATAATGAGCCTCCTATCTTTCAAAATTGTCCTCAACAACCAATCTTGGTGAAAAGAGATGAGAATGGCGCTATTCTCGCCGTGAACTTTACGGAACCCACCGCTGTTGACAATTCGGGATCAATTGCTCGTTTAGAAGTAAAACCACAAAATTTTAAAACTCCTTCCTATATATTCAGAGACACAGTTGTTAAGTATGTAGCTTTTGATTATGATGGAAATGTGGCAATTTGCGAAATTAATATAACGGTGCCTGACGTCACACCGCCACTATTGCAATGTCCTCAAAGTTACGTCATTGAACTGATAGATCGACAAGATAGTTACACTGCAAACTTCAACGATACCCGTAAACGAATTAAAACGTCAGACAATTCCGGGGAAGTACGTCTCACATTTTCCCCAGAACATGCCACTATCACTATAGGAACATTTGAAAATGTTACAGTTACTGCTACAGACAAATTTAACAATCGAGCCTACTGTAATTTCCAGGTATCAGTGCAAGCATCACCTTGTGTAGATTGGGAGTTGCAGCCTCCAGCAAATGGGGCAATAAATTGTTTGCCAGGCGATCGAGGCATTGAGTGCATCGCAACTTGTAAACCTGGTTTTCGATTTACTGATGGAGAGCCAATTAAAAATTTCTCTTGTGAAACTTCCAGATTATGGAAACCGACGTCCGTAGTGCCCGACTGCGTTTCGGAAAATACAGAACAAGCTGATTACCAGGTCACTGCAACTGTTACGTACCGAGCCAATGGTGCCGTTGCTCACTCTTGTCTAAGCCAATATCAGAATCTGCTGGCCCAACATTATACAGGCTTAAATCAACTGCTATCACAACGCTGCTCTGCCGTTAACGTAAACATGAATGTGACTTTCCTGAAATCGGTTCCTAGCCTTTTAGAAGAAAATGTTGTAAAAATGGATTTCATATTATCCATCTTGCCAGCAATTAGACAACCACAGTTATATGATTTATGCGGCTCAACTCTAAATTTGATTTTTGACTTGAGTGTTCCATATGCGAGTGCAGTTATTGATTCACTTTTAAATATATCTCATATAGGAAACCAATGCCCACCTCTACGTGCTTTAAGAAGTAATATTTCCAGAGGATTTACTTGCAGCATCGGGGAAGTTCTTAACATGGATACCAGCGACGTGCCGAGATGTCTTCACTGTCCAGCGGGAACTTACGTTGCTATTGGCCAAAACATTTGCACTTATTGCCCTAGAGGTTATTATCAAAATCGTGATCGTCAAGGAATTTGTCTACATTGTCCTGCCGGCACCTACACACGAGAAGAGGGGTCTAAGTCTTTAAACGACTGCGTGCCAGTTTGCGGTTATGGAACTTACTCTCCAACGGGTTTGGTGCCTTGCTTAGAATGTCCGCGCAATTCTTATACCGGCGAGCCACCAACTGGTGGTTTTAAAGATTGTCAAGCATGTCCTCAAAGTAGCTTCACTTACCAAACGGCTGCGTTTACTAAAGATTTATGCAGACAAAAATGTCCACCAGGAACATATTCATCAACGGGATTGGCCCCATGCTCTCCTTGCCCTGCTAATTTCTTCCAAAGCGTAACTGGCTCTCACACTTGCATCGAATGTCCAACCAATATGCGCACTGAAGGCCCGGGTTCTAAGGGACATGAAGAATGTAAGTTGATTGTGTGTGGGGATGGAGCTTGTCAACACGGTGGTTTGTGTGTTCCGATGGGTCACGGTATCCAATGCTTCTGCCCAGCCGGATTTTCGGGAAGACGCTGTGAAATTGATATAGATGAATGTTCTTCTCAACCTTGTTACAACGGTGGCTCCTGTAGCGATTTACCACAGGGCTACCGATGTGAGTGCCCTCCTGGTTATTCTGGTATTAACTGTCAAGACGAAGCAACTGATTGTGGTGAGAATATATGTCCGGCACGAGCCATGTGCAAGAATGAACCGGGATATAAAAATTATACTTGTCTTTGCCGCAGCGGCTACACTGGAGAAAATTGTGATGTTACTATAGATCCCTGTACAGCAAACGGAAATCCCTGCTCGAATGGTGCCAGCTGTAATGCCCTTCTGCAAGGACGCTACAAATGTGAATGCCTGCCTGGTTGGGAAGGAATTCATTGCGAAATTAACATTGATGATTGTGCTGAAAACCCATGTCTTCTTGATGCGAACTGTACTGATTTAATCAATGACTTCCAATGTAATTGTCCTTCTGGATTTACTGGTAAACGATGCGAAGAAAAGATAGATTTGTGCTTATCTGAACCTTGCAAACATGGTACATGTGTTGACAGACTATTTAGTCATGAATGTGTTTGCTATCCTGGCTGGACTGGCTTCGCTTGTGATGTGAACATTGATGATTGCGCGGACACCCCTTGCTTCAATGAAGGTATTTGTGTGGATTTAGTGAATGGATACTCTTGCACTTGTGAATCGGGTTATACTGGCAAAAATTGTCAGCATACAGTGGACGACTGCGAGTCTAATCCTTGCCAAAATGGTGCTACTTGTATCGATCAATTAGATGGATTTATCTGTAAATGTCGCCCAGGATTCGTGGGTTTGAGCTGCGAGGCAGAAATCGACGAATGTTTAAGTGATCCGTGCAATCCGGTAGGGACAGAACGTTGTCTAGACTTAGACAATAAATTCCAATGTGCTTGTCGTGATGGTTTCAATGGCGTTTTGTGTGAGACAGACATTGATGATTGTGCCAGTAACCCATGCTTAAACGGTGCCAAGTGTCGTGATCGTGTTGGAGGATTTGAGTGTATTTGTGAGCAAGGATGGAGTGGAATGCATTGTGAAACTCAAATTACCACTTGTAACGTGCTGTCTCCATGCCAAAACGATGCTAGCTGCATTGATTTATTCCAAGATTACTTCTGCGTTTGCCCTAGTGGAACTGATGGAAAGAACTGTGAAACCGCTCCTGAAAGATGTATAGGAAATCCTTGTATGTATGGTGGAAAATGTCAAGATTTTGGCTCCGGTTTAAATTGCACATGCCCAATAGATTATTCTGGCATAGGTTGTCAATACGAATTTGATGCCTGTGAGGCAAATATATGCCAAAACGGTGCTACATGCATAGATAATGGTGCGGGCTACACATGCTTATGCCCAAAAGGCTTCACAGGCAAAAATTGCCAAAAAGACATTGTTGATTGTAAAGACAACTCGTGTCCCCCAGGTGCAACTTGCGTAGATTTGACTAACACTTTTTATTGCCAATGCCCCTTCAATATGACTGGCGATGATTGTCGGAAAGTTATACAAGTAGACTATGATCTATATTTCAGCGATGCCTCTCGTTCAACTGCAGCGCAAGTCGTACCTTTTTATACAGGCGAATCTCCAAGCTTAACCATTGCGATGTGGGTCCAATTTGCGCAAAAGGATGATACGGGAATCTTCTTCAATCTGTATGGAGTGGAATCAGCCCACACAGCTAACAACCGGCATCTTTTACTTCAAGCTCACTCCAGCGGGGTGCAAGTTTCGCTGTTCGCAGACTTGCCTGATGCTTTCTTATCGTTTGGAGAGTACACATCAGTTAATGATGGTCAATGGCATCATGTAGCTATTGTTTGGGACGGCATTAGTGGTCAATTGCAGTTAATTACTGAAGGACTTATTGCTAGTAAGTTAGAATACGCTCAAGGACGTATTATGCCCAAATTTCTCTGGACTGTACTTGGACGACCACAACCCAGTACTTTTAAGCACGATCTTGCATACTCTGAAACCGGTTTCCAAGGCACAATAACCAAAGCTCAAGTATGGGCACGCGCGCTTGACGTAACGTCAGATATTCAAAAACAAGTTCGGGATTGCCGCTCAGAACCTGTACTATACAACGGTTTAGTTCTTAACTGGTCGGGGTATGAAATTACATCAGGTGGTGTCGAACGAACAGTGCCTTCTACATGCGGTCAGCGGAGATGTCCAAACGGTTATAGTGGCCCTAATTGTCAGCAGTTGGTCGTTGACAAAGAACCTCCAATAGTTGAACATTGCCCCGGTGATTTATGGGTTATTGCTAAGAATGGTTCAGCCGTAGTTACGTGGGACGAACCGCACTTTAGTGATAATATTGGTGTGACAAAGATTATAGAACGAAATGGCCACCGGTCGGGTGCCACGTTGCTCTGGGGATCATACGATATCACTTACTTGGCATCAGACGCAGCCGGTAATACCGCATCATGTAATTTCAAAGTGTCTTTACTTAGTGAGTATATAAGAGCATAAAAAACTAACTATGAGTAAAAATTATTACTACTCTTTTGTTACAGCCGAATTCTGCCCACCGTTGTCTGACCCGGTTGGGGGTATTCAAGTCTGCAAAGATTGGGGAGCCGGAGGTCAATTTAAAGTTTGTGAAATTGCGTGCAATCTTGGCTTAAGGTTTTCAGAAGAAGTTCCAGAATTTTATACGTGTGGAGCTGAGGGTTTTTGGCGCCCTACAAGCGACCCTTCCATGCCACTAATTTATCCGTCATGCTCGCGTAAGCTTAACTTTTGTCACAAACCACTAGCATGTTTTAATATAAACTGTATACAGCTTCCAAGCCTGCTCAGCGTGTCTTCCGAATAAGAATGTTATTCCCTTCAGATGTTTTGTGCAACAAAGCTGGGCAAGGAGTCTTAAGGCAGAAAGTTACGAATTCTGTTAATGCTCTAAACCGGGATTGGAACTTTTGCTCGAACACAGTGGAGGGTACTAGGGAATGCAAAGATATTAAAATTGATGTGAAATGCGATCATTATCGTGCTGCTCAACATAATAGGGTGCGTCGACAAGCTAAAGACGGTGGTGTTTACGTCTTGGAAGCAGAATTGCCGGTTCTAACGTAAGTCGTATTGAAAAGATTAGAGAAAATATTTAGTTATAATATTTCCAATTTTATGTAATGTTGGGAGATGTAAACCATTCTCTTCGGGTTTTTTTATGCAACAGCTAGGTCCTAATTTCCTTTTTATGTCAAATTTTTACTTGTACAGTTTGTAAGACGGGTTTAGTTTATTTAATTATCTTAATGTCTACTACATGTATAGTATATGTATGTTACTGGCATGTTATAACTTTTATATAAATGTATGTGTGCTGTTCCTAATTTATAGTGAAGAAGAAGAAACAGAGACACGTGGTCGTCATGGACGCCAACAGACTGGCGGTGATACCTACACGCTGGAAATTTCTTTCCCGGCAGTGAAGTATGTTTGTACACTTTTTTAACTCTTTAGAAAAAAAAAGCGTATTCAAAAATTTTTATTGCAAAAGCCTTGCTTTGGTGTTGGTTACGTAAATCATGCAACCGCTTTGTTTTTAACATCAATTGTCTTCATTTGTTCCTAAGCTGCTTATCAATTTTTTTAAATATTTTGCGTTTTGAAAGTAAAAAAATCGTGTTTTTCTGTTTGTGTAGTGATCCCGTTCTTCACACATCGTCTGGAGAACGATCTTCTGTAAAAGCCCTTTTGGAGAAACTTATTTTGGAAGATGACCAGTTCGCTGTTCAAGACATTTTACCCAATACCGTTCCAGACCCTGGTTCATTAGAATTAGGCTCAGAATATGCTTGCCCTGTGGGTCAAGTTGTTATGATACCCGATTGTGTACCATGTGCTATTGGTACCTATTACGATGGCTCAAATATGACCTGTGCGCCATGCGAACATGGCACTTATCAGTCTGAGGCTGGTCAGTTGCAGTGTAGTAAGTGCCCAATAATCGCTGGGCGGCCAGGAGTTACAGCCGGACCTGGTGCTCGCTCAGCCGCTGACTGTAAGGAACGCTGTCCTGCTGGAAAGTATTTCGATTCTGAAACGGGTTTGTGTAGACCTTGTGGTCACGGATTTTATCAGCCTAACGAAGGCTCATTCGGTTGTAAGTTGTGCGGCTTAGGTCAAACTACTCGTACAGCTGAAGCGACTTCACGTAAGGAGTGCAGAGATGAATGCGTTTCTGGATTGCAGTTAGGAATAGATGGACATTGCGAGCCATGTCCCCGTGGCACGTATCGATCACAAGGTGTGCAACCTTCATGTACTGCATGTCCTCTAGGTCGCACTACACCGAAAGTGGGAGCTAAATCAGTAGAAGAATGCACCTTGCCGGTTTGCTCTCCTGGCAGTTACTTAAACGGTACACTCAACATGTGCGTGGAATGTCCTAAAGGATATTATCAGTCAGAATCCCAACAGACAACATGTATTATATGCCCACCAAATCATAGCACTAAAAACACTGGAGCGACTGCGAAATCAGAATGTACAAATCCGTGTGAACAAATCCCAGAGGGTAGTGCACATTGTGATCCTAACGCTTATTGTATTCTTGTACAAGAGACGTCTGATTTTAAATGCGAATGCAAACCGGGTTTTAACGGTACCGGCATGGAATGTATTGACGTGTGCGAAGGTTTTTGTGAAAATGCTGGCACATGCGTTAAGGATTTAAAAGGAACACCATCTTGCCGTTGTGTGGGTTCGTTCACCGGTCCATATTGTGCTGAGCGATCTGAATTTGCTTACATAGCCGGTGGCATTGCAGGGGCTGTAATATTTATTATTGTTATCGTGCTTCTCATTTGGATGATCTGTGTACGCTCAACACGGCGGCGAGATCCCAAGAAAATGCTTACACCAGCTATCGACCAAACAGGCTCTCAAGTAAACTTTTACTATGGTGCTCATACGCCATACGCTGAATCTATTGCACCATCTCATCATAGCACATACGCTCATTATTATGACGACGAAGAAGATGGTTGGGAGATGCCAAACTTTTATAACGAGGCCTACATAAAGGATGGTTAGCAAACAGTTATCGCGCTTTTCAAAGAAAAGTTTGTTAAAGTTGTTCGTTATAATATTTTAGGTCTCCATGTTGGTGGTAAAATGAGCACTTTGGCAAGATCCAATGCTTCTCTATATGGCACAAAAGAAGATCTATATGATCGACTGAAACGACACGCCTACACAGGCAAGAAGGGTATGTAAAAATATTACGTCACAATCTATAAACGATTAATTAATGTTGTCGAGATATCTTTACAGAGAAGAGCGATAGTGATAGTGAAGTCCAATAAAATGTCCACAAATTATTATATAGAAAAATGTATAAATTGAGATCTTTGTGCAGCCTTTGTAATTAAAATGTTTTCGCTTTATTTATGTAAACTTTTACCCCAACAAGCTTTATATTGAATTGATGTAATTTTATGTGAGGGATTTATTTTTTTTGTTTTTTTTTTTTATTATTATTATGATTATTATTTACTTAGTTTTATGTTCTCCTTTTTTAATTATTTATTTAATTTTTTTTTAAATTTGCAATGCAAAATGAAATTTAATTCTCGACGGAATTACTCGGCTTAATGTAAAGCTTTTGAAAAGATGCTTTAGATATTTTAAATTCATATTCATGCACAGTCACATAATTATTTAACTCTTACGTCGAACAGCGAAGATATTTTGGGCACCTTTAACTATAAATATACGAAAACACGCAATTGGCCCCAGATAGATCTGACTTGTAAAGGATATTAAAACAACTAATATTTCTTATATATACATTTATATATGTGTATATATTTTATGAAAATTTTTAATTTAGTTTGTAATAATATTTTCATTACCCAGCCATTCTAATTAAATTCAAACGAAAAAAAAAGAAAATTATTATTTGATTCTCTGTAAGTGAAAGTCTTTCCACGCATAAAGCTAATAAAAATTCATGTGATTTCGTAAGAATATTAATTTCGCTACTTGTTTCCCTAATGTAAACATGTAAAGCGATCATAATTTGGAAAACGCGTTTTGTATCATATTTAATAACTAAAGATAAACGACTAAACTTTTAGATATGTATTACCGTGTGAGTGTGTTCTTGCAAATATATGCAATAGTATATAATTAATAAAGTACGTATAGATTATTAATTTAAAATATACTTTTTTGTATAAAAATACAAATATTATAAACGAAATAAAATTTTATTTAAACGTAAATGTACAAACAGTTTTTTTTTTAATAATATTAAAACCAAAAACCATATTTGTAATAGGTAGATTTATAGAGTCTGTTACAAATAGGTACAAGTGAGAAAATTATATTCGGTTGTGACCGAATCTTCTGTAGCCATCACCGATATCCTATAAAAGATAGAAAAAAGGAAAAATATAAATTTGCATACTCCATAACACTCGGTGGGCGTGGCTGGTTTTTCCTATTTTTCTAGTATAAGGTAATGGAAATTTATATCGTGCATCTGGTGTAGTTTATGTGCAACGAGCAAAAGACACCATAGTATCGCCCATAGAATATTTGCAAATTTTTGTACATTTACCTGCTTTAGGTGATGAATAATGAGGAAGGAATCAGCTTTTTATTCTTTTGAAAAACAGAATTATTCCCAATTTACGTGGCACAGATTTGTGCCAGATTTGAAGAGAACAACTTCATTTTTATGGCAAGGAGAAAGCAGACAACAGATAGGCAGAATTTGCAGTTGTAGCAAGGGTTTAACGTGGGTTCCTGCCTGAAAGGCTTAACCCCACAGTGGCCCAAGTCACTGTAAGCGTACTATGCCCCCTGGCGAGTTAGACAATCCCCACAGAGTAGGGGCCTAAACAGCACCAGAGTCCAGAACGGTTTATTGCGTATGGAACAATAAACCCCACTCTGGTCAGTGGTGAGGCCTAGCTGCACTCGACTGTTCCACTTTGGCTAGGAACTGCCAACCACAACCACCACGAGTACACCCCGAAGGGCCGGATCCAAGCAGTCAGGACTCACAAATTGATCAACGATATTCGTTCAAAAAGTGAAAAATTGCGCTCGCTTCCGCCATAAGGCTTCCACGGCGCCGTTGATCAATTACCACCATTACCCGCAGGCATCCGTGACATATGTTCAAAAGTAAATAGGCAAAAGGGGAAAAAGCCTTTCCGTCAAATCCCCTTTTAATTTTTGCAGACGGACAGGCGGACATCCTTAAATTGTATTTGTATTTGATGCTGATCAATATATTTGATGCTGCGCGTCCTTTGAAGTTTCCTTCTGGGCGTTGCAAATTTATGACGGACATAATCAAATTGATTTAGTATTTAATGCTGGCCAAGAATATAGATAGTTTGTGTCTCTGAAGTTTCCTTCTGGGCATTACAAATGTTTTGACAAAATGAATGTACCCCTCATTCTTCGGTGATGGGCATAAAAAAAAACTAGGCCGGTTTGTTAACTCGCTGTAATGACTACAGAATTTATAGCTGTCGGTAAAGTAGTCATCTTTATACTCTACAACACTCGCGGGACAAGAGTATGTTAACTTTGTAAAGATTTATACAACACCCAAGAACTTACCGTTGGTCAGTCTGGTACTCCTTTGTTCCATCTTCAAGTCGTAATTTATTGCGAATCTGTAGGTAAAGTTCTGCAGAAATATTTCCGAATCTATAAAGAAAACGGCCTTATTGATAATATGTAGATTAAGCTGATTCTTGCGCTTATCGAGAGAGTCAGAATAAATAAATTTTTCAAAAAAAATCTTGAAATGAAGATAGCGGCAAATAGGCAGCCATGTGTAAGTTACTTATCCCACTCGTGCTGCTCAGTTTATAAAGCTGTATATTATGCGTTATAATGTGTCCGACCGCTCACGTACCTATGTGCTACAATCTTATAATATTGTTATCATAACAATAAAAGTAATTATTGATGGCATAATCCCCTACTACATTGCTGGCTCACTCTCAAAACGTATTTCCATTTAAGATACGTGTTGCGTTTTTTATTCATACGCGACGTATGTTAAGTAAATATTTGACTTTTAAATATTTAATAATACAGATGACAATTGGCCCGTAAAGTGTGTGGCTCTACCGCATTGACCCTCTTTTTATTTTTCAATATGACCAAGCTCTCAAGGGAAAGAACAGAGATAGGAGCGATACAACCAATAAGTGTTATGCCTTTGCCGATAGCAAACTAGATGCAGCTACCTCCGAAACTCCCAGGAGAATGCCGAGTCTCTCAAAGTATGCAAATGAATGTTATTCATTAGGATCATCATTGTGACAGCTAAAAAATGAGTTGAATCAAGTTCGAAAAACCGGTAGGCAATTTACCGCGACCAATAAGTTATGACCTACAGCGGAATTTTCTTAACTTTGGTGGTCTTCATATACATGTAATTTTTTTTTGTTTTTTTTATTTCACAAATTGAAATTTTTATTTGAAACGTCTCAACAGAAAATGACAAAATCTCATTTACATTTCAAATAAATTTTATCTAGATTGTAATGATACACATACATACAGTACATAATAATATGTATAAAAATGGTAAGAAAACATTATTAATTATTAACTGGATAAAATATAATGTTGTTCTTGTCTTTTTCGTTTTCATCTGTTTTTTATTTTTTTATTTTTTTTTTATTTATTTATTTTTTTTTTTTGTAAATACTAAGCTATCTAAAAATGGTATTATTTGTACCCTTTAAAAAAAATCGGGTATACATTCATGCAATTCGTTCTAATTATATTAATTGTTCAGAAAAAAAGGAAAATAACTGGATGTGAATTTCGAGCTTGGAGCACTAGTTTCTTATAATTAATGTTATGAATTTATTTAATTTTATTAAACTCATTAACTTAGTTACTTACTACAATACTTAATGGCCTGAGAACAAGTTTAACAGACAAAGGCCCGATAATGATCTTCTAAATATTAATAACTTTTTTTTGTTTTCATTTATTTATTTATTTATTTGTTTTTTTTTTTTCTTTTTGTGTTTTTCTCGTTTATGCAAATTGCGTGTTTTATTAGGTAATTAAAGGATTCGTTATTATTATTAACTTCAAAAGAAGAGTTGGTACAAGATGTCTTAAAAAGCTCTTGCTACTTATATAAAGAAGAGGGTTTCCATTATTAACGAAGAATTACAAATAATTTATTTAATAATTAACGCGGAAAAGGTTATCAATTAAATGGAAATTCAATCCAACAGAGACATCAAGGGATTTTGTTGTTGTGACATTTGCTTACACCTTGGCTGAACTTACTTTGTCCTATGTCTCATTTGGCTTTCCAACACGTTTCCGTGAAGAAAATGTATTAATTTTAAAATCTTACCGTTTATTATAAAAAAGCGTAGCAAAAGTAAGTGCTATGTGTTCGAATGCAAGGAAATGTTTAATTTAATTAAAATGTAAATTAACTTGCTTGCTAGTAGATAACAATACATAGTAGTAGGGTAGTGCATATATATCATAGGTTACCGGAAAGTTCTGCCGGTTTTTATAATAAAACACAATTCTAGTTCCCGAATGTGGTTCGAAATGATTTGCTGAGCTGAATCAAGTCTTTCCGCAATGTCTGATGTTGTTAAAAATGGATTTTGCTTAAACATAACCCTAATAGAGTCATTGTCGATCAAAGATGGTTGCCCAGAACGTGATTTATCAGAATTTTTTCGAACATGTTCTATCAAAAACTCAGCGAACACTTTGAACAAATATCTGCACGCTTCTGTAGCATTACTTCCTTGTTGGAATTCCTATAAAATACAGTGGAGTAGCTGAACTTCCTCATAGATACGTGACTTAATGCTAACAGAAACCCTCTTTGGTTTAACTCATCTGTAAGGCCAGCCTGTATATATACATTCAGTGATAAAAAGAGATTGCGAAGTATGCGTTAAATGAATATGCGCGAACTTGTTGAGATTTCTCGTAATCAAAACGAACAGAACTTTTCGGTACCCTCAGTATATGTACATACATAAACATATAAATGTAACTTTACCGAAAATGAAAAATTTTGCAATAAATAAATTCTTTTAGTAATTTTTGATATTTCAATTTATTTTTATGCTCACTCTTCAAGTGACGGGTACATTTTCTTTTCTATCTATCTATAATATTCAGGAATGAACACCATTCTACGTCAAATACTCCCTAAATCGTAAAATTGATCTGCCCGCAAATACTTACATTCGATTATTTAAATATTTTAATATACTCCTTAGCTCAGGTCACAATAGACAATGCGAAATGTTAATATAAATACAGATCATCAAAATTGCTGCCAAGTAATAGAACCGATCTATCAACCGAATCATATGGCAGCAAAGAATATAGGTATACAATTCCTAAATGCAGGCATATGGTTCGACTGGAAAGTGCATCCAACCTTCTTGTTCACATTTATTTTCTTTTCTACAGTTACAACAGCAAGGTGCAAGGTCATTTACGAGAAGCCGCATAAATAAGGTGTAGAAGGAAAATGGAGTCTGTAAAACACAGATGGACAGCAGATGATTCGACAAAAATCGTGTACGTGCCTTGATCAGAAAGCAATGAAATTTTCAAATTTCGAGAACTCTGTTTCTTTGCGCCTTATAGTCGGTACGAGTTCGCATGAGCAGCCGGGGGATAACGGTGCCGTCTGCCAACTGGATTTTCCCGGGTCCAAATCTCAGTGCGGTAGACCATATTTTGTAGTGTAGAGTTACTTAGACTTGAATACACTTGTTGTTTTTAAGTCTAAAAATATATTCTAGAAACTGTTTACTTGAACTATTGACTTTAAAATTTGCTGTTGCTTCTGATCGATGTTCTTCTCTATAATTTCACATTTTAGCCGTTTGATCTTAAAGTGTTGCATGCGTTTTGTAGTCAAAAAAAAAAAAAATAAATAAATAAATAGTTGGAGTCATAAATAACCACTGATGCAGGCGGTTGAATCTATATTCGTGTCCGCCTACTGTAAGTTACCGCTTTTGTTTTCACTAAATAGACAAGAGTTTAGTTACTCTTCGAAAAAATGTTTTGTGTGATGTACGTTTCATGAAACTCTTGCTTATAACAATAGAGTGAAAAATGCATATTCGTTATGTGATGCTTTGGGAATTTGAACAAGACAATGACGCTGAGGTGACAATTGAAAAAATACGCTGCGCACACAGTGCAAATGTAATAAGCGATCGGAAAGTTAAATATTGGTTTGCCAAATTCCCTTCTGGGGATAAGAAGCAACAATCCAAAATAATTGATAAGAGATACATAGCAGGAAGTTTGAATACGTAACAATCGACCGGTTGTCGTAAACTGAAGATAAGAGAAACTTAAGAAGTTAGAAACAACAAAAGTTGTTTATGACCCGAACTAATATATCGATTTTATTTGTTACGTGCGTATCGCTGACATTAAGATTAAAGCATTTGATAATTTGCAAGCAGTTGTGTATTTCAAAATGTTCGGCAACGAGCTCATCAAAGAAGAAGAAAGAATATCAAAAATTTTTAATGCCCTCCACAATCTATTCCAGAGACGTAAAATTGTGTGGGTGTTTTCCTACTTTTGTCAGCCGCGACTAAAATGAAAACGAAACAGACTGTAAGAGAGGCTGAAAGATATCTTCCTTTAGTCTTGCTGCTGCATTCGACAACTCCGTGTCAAAAAAATATACTACTGAAATACTAGACTCATTGAATAGTATGATTTTCTACCGTTACTTTCTTAGCGAAACGTTCAACATTACTTGATGCGGTTATTGCAATATTTGACATCGGAGAAGTTGAGATGGAAAATTAGAAATTTAGGGAATATGCCTGACTGACTAACTGTAATAGATACGGACTATCTTGACTATTTTTTCGCAAATGTCTTAAACTGCTTTAAAATTTCTATATTGAACGTAGCACACACACACGTTATATTTATAAAAAATCTTTGATAATCGTACTCGTTAAATTAAAGCGACCCCTCAAGGGCATTAAGAGTGTTGCTATTGCAAAAATTGCAAAATGCGAAAGCAGAATGTTCTGGAAGTTATGT